ATTGTTAGGACCAGAGGAGAGATTAGATGCCAATACCTGGTCATCGAGAATTTTTTTAAGGTAAACCCATATGCCATTTTATCATCTGTCTAGATATTCACAAAGGATCGGAGTACACACGTAGATAGGTCGTCAATGTCAAGCTGAAAGAGAGTTCGACCGAAAAGTGAGCCTTGAGGGAGGCTTGTATTGTTCTCATGGGCATCAGAGGATTAGCCATTAACAACCACCTTCATTGATCTACCTGTTAGGAAGGACTTGATCATTGAGAAACTCTTCAAGCGTTACCATAGCCTGAGAGTTTGTGCTAGCAAAAGTGTGTGCCACAATTGGTCAAATTTATATTATCTAAGTGAAACCATTTTACCTTTCTCAGCATGGATGATGCTAACTTCTTATAGGGGGCAAGGTATCATCATTTTACAGTTGAAATGACTTGATATAACTTGAAGTTCGATGCTAACAGTGTCTTCTATCACACTTGTCGCTTGTTGAAATGTCATCGAGCTTCTTGCTTCCCATTTAACTTTGATATTCAAAAATTGAAATTCAATGTCAATCGTTATCTACTGTCTTCCTAAATCTTGTTCTTTTACTGTTCTTTCTCCTTAATAGTTTTGCTTTTCTTTTTTATATACTCTAACTTTCAGTAACCTCTTTCGTATTAGGGGATTTACTGCCTTGCTTGGGTTGAAATTGTTACAGTTTTTTTTGTATATATATATATATATATATATATATATATATATATATATATGACTAGTGAGCCAGTCAAAATGACTTGACTCACTTTATAGTCCACCAATGGAAAGTTAACCAATCAGAAGACGTAGAACATTCAATCTGTCGTGTATAAAAGCGGCCATTTTTGTCTACTCTACCCGAATGTCCAGTGCCAGGCGAAGAGGAACAGAAGGACGAACTATGCTCTGCTACTTTTACCAAAATATTCACTGCTAGGCTGAACAACGCTTCTCTACTGTCTTCGAAATATTCACTACTAACCTCTGGATTCTATACTCGAAGACGACCGTCATCATGAACAACAGAAATGATTAAAAAAAATCTAAATTAATTATATATCTGGCACGAATGATCAAGTTTTTTGACATTTTTAAGAAGGGAACGTATTTTCAATCATTACAGGAGAGGAGTCACGAATTCTTACGTTGATATTGTAATGTTTAGTTGTACTATTTATTATACATAGTCAATCATTCAACACTATTTAACGTGTAAGCAATCGTTTTAACAGTAACACAAACAACAACAATAATAATAGTAATTGGTCTTATAAATATTTAATTTAATTATAGTTATATTACTTTTATTATTATTTTTATATATTTTTCGAATAAATTATTAACTACTTACTAATACTTATTTAAACAGTCAAACCATATAATAATTACCATTGTGTATTTATTTATATATTTCCTGTCGCATTCATTTTTTTTCCCGACATGAAAAACGAAAGAACAAATAAATACTTCCCCGAACTCTGCCTGCAAAGATTCTCATCGGTGAGGAGCTCAACCGAAAGATAGTAACATGATCGAGTTTGGACCGGTTGAGAGACACTTCTGCACTACTTGCAGTGTGTCAAGGGCGGTGAAATTAAAGCAAGCCTACAGGACGAAGGACATGGGATGTCGTTTCACTCGGAGAGAGGTGGGCTCCGTTAGTACTACTTCGGTCGAAGTCGCGATACGCCTGAATAAATACCTACGGAGACGTATGGCGGGGTCTAGATATTTGCTCCGCTGCGCAACGACCCTACAACCACATCCGGTCACTGGATTGAAAAAGAAGATGATGATGATAGTAGTAGTAGTAGTACCATTATTATTTATTTATCTTATTTTCTGTTATAGATAACGAGGGAAAAAATCTTGCAACCATAAAATCATGTCCACCGAAGAGTTGTTTATAGCAGAATAGATAAATCCCCCAGAAACTTTCTGATGAGAAATTCGATCTTGTTGGCAGCAAGACAACGCATTTTCTTAGGTTATTTCAAATTTTTATCTCACAAAACTAACTTTGGTCGCTAAAGAAAGAAAAAAACAGAATGAATTAACACCGAATATAAGAAAATGAAGTAGAAAACAAAAATAAAAGAAAAGTCTTGTTGCAAAATATGGTAAATAAGAAAGGGAAATGAAAGATATTTCAAAGATTTTCAACTGAGAAATGAGACTGGACATTTTTTCTCTCCTTTATATAACACCAAATACGTCAAAACAAATTAGAATTTCGCTCAAAGCACCAGACAAGATGTTAAGGTTTATAATGATTTCTCTAACACAGTTTATGTTTGTGTATATATTAATAAAAACAACACAACAATGTCGGGCCGGCGATACTGAAGGCAGACAAATGACCCTAGTATTCCAATCCCTCCGCCACATGACTAAGGAGATTTTATTGAGGGGCTATTATTATTATTATTATTATTATTATTATTGTTATATCTTTACTTGCTGTTCAAGACATTCCTCTATCAATCATTTATCGAAGACGTGGAATAATATATTTAGATAATTATTGAGCATATAAGATTGAAAGAGTTTATTCTGAGTGTGTGAGCGGTGATCTATCTATCTATCTATCTATCTATCTATCTATCTATCTATCTATCTAACTTAGACTCTTCATTATCTATCTATCTATCTATCTATCTATCTATCTATCTATCTATCTATCTATCTATCTATCTTAGACTCTTCATTATCTATCTATCTATCTATCTATCTATCTATCTATCTATCTATCTATCTATCTATCTATCTTAGACGCTTCATTAGCTATTTATCTATCTACCGGATGCGATGGTTATATTGTCGCCTAAATTACGCAAAAATAAAACTAACACTGACTTCTCATTTTAACAGCTATATTTACCAAAATAACACAGAAAGATCTTGAAATACTGAAGAGTAAATTTATTCAATAAAATAGCGATTAGCTTCAGCAACAGCCTCCAGACGACTTCGGAATCTCCTGCAATTCATCAGGACCATCTCCTTAGTTAAGTTGGTCAATGCTGCCATAATCTTTGTCTTCAGTTCATCTTTGGTGTTACAAGCAGTTTTGTTGGTTTTTCGCTCAACTGCGCCCTTTAGATAATAATCAATGGGGTGTTAGGTGACCAGATGTAAGGGTTGGTGTGATCGCAGAAACTGTCTGACAGCTTGTGTGGCCTGGTGCAGAGTCCCGTTGCGAGACATAAGGTCTTCCAGCAGCCACCGTCTTGATCCAGACCAGCACTACCTCCCCAATGCAGTTGAAGTAAACCTCCGTGTTTCGTCTGAGACCAAGTAGGAAGATGAATGGAGGCATAACGTGATCACTCCAAACACCTTCGTAATCACCATTAGATTCATCCAACTCGTTCCGAGTCCTCTGCATTGTCCTCAGATTGACACCAAAACATTCTGAAATGTTTGCATAGGAGCTTCCGGGTGAATATCAAGCAGTACATCAAGCAGTTTCCAAATTTATGGCGGAATGAATAACGTTGTGGTGCTCTTTTTTTTAATAGACGGTGCCCAACTGACCCTTCTATACTGTGGAATCGACAAAGTCAAAAATAATCAACGCTTATGTGCGAAATTAATAATTTACTCATGAGACACTGTATATATTCTAGTCTTTTCATTATCTATCTATCTATCTATCTATCTATCTATCTATCTATTTTAAACTCTTTATTATCTATCTATCTATCTATTTTAAACTCTTTATTATCTATCTATCTATCTATCTATCTATCTATCTATCTATCTATCTATCTATTTTAAACTCTTCATTATCTATCTATCTATCTATTTTAAACTCTTCATTATCTATCTATCTATCCATTTTAAACTCTTTATTATCTATCTATCTATCTATCTATCTATCTATTTTAAACTCTTCATTATCTATCTATCTATCTATTTTAAACTCTTCATTATCTATCTATCTATCTATTTTAAACTCTTCATTATCTATCTATCTATCTATCTATCTATCTATCTATCTATCTATTTTAAACTCTTCATTATCTATCTATCTATCTATCTATCTATCTATTTTAAACTCTTTATTATCTATCTATCTATCTATTTTAAACTCTTCATTATCTATCTATCTATCTATCTATCTATCTATCTATCTATCTATCTATCTATTTTAAACTCTTCATTATCTATCTATCTATCTATCTATCTATCTATTTTAAACTCTTTATTATCTATCTATCTATCTATTTTAAACTCTTCATTATCTATCTATCTATCTATCTATCTATCTATCTATTTTAAACTCTTCATTATCTATCTATCTATCCATTTTAAACTCTTCATTATCTATCTATCTATCTATCTATCTATCTATCTATCTATTTTAAACTCTTCATTATCTATCTATCTATCCATTTTAAACTCTTCATTATCTATCTATCTATCCATTTTAAACTCTTCATTATCTATCTATCTATCTATCTATCTATCTATCTATCTATCTATCTATCTATCTATCTTAAACTCTTCATTATCTATCTATCTATCTATCTATCTATTTTAAACTCTTCATTATCTATCTATCTATCTATCTATCTATCTATCTATCTATCTATCTGTTGTAGCATACCTATCGACAATAATAGGTATGCCCCCTCTCTATCCCCATAAATACAGTAGGGGATACTATACTTGCTCTAGAGTTGGAGATTCGTCTCCAGCTGTGCTGGTCAAACGCTCTGCCTTTTTGGCTATATCGATGGGCAGAATTTCGTTTCGGGAAACAGCTACCCTACCCCGTTTATTACGGGATCTACGGGAAATTTTTGTCCGAGCCTACGAACTCGGATATTCCACATTAAATTCGGCCTTGTGCCACATTTGAACTCGTGGGGCGGTTGGTAGATATCCTGCAGTTTGAGATTCTTTGTGGAATTCACTTGACTCACTTCTAGGAGTTGACTACTACTTCTACGCGCCGCTGGGGAATCTTATATGTGTTGTTCATGTCTTAAGTATTATTGTTCATTATCAACCTTCGTTTGATTATTGTATTCAGCAACCTTCCCAAGGTTACAACACTATCCTAGTCTCTTCATTATCTATCTATCTATCTATCTATCTATCTATCTATCTATTATGGTCCGGTTCCTTGTACCACGGTGATAGTCCAAGGTAGAACCAATAAAGAAGAACTCAAACACAGGTATGGAATAACACAGATATATTACAAACAGGAATATATACAGAGTAGAAGTGTTAGTACGAACAATCAGGTTTAGTAGTTATTGTCTGAACGCGACTCTGTTTCGGTGTGCCTCTGACTCGACTGACTGACTCGCTCGCTCTGACTGACAGACTCCTGGCGGACTTCACTCCAGACTTCAGACGGAACTCTCTGCTTCCTCTTGAGGCGCAGTATTTATTACGTATGGGCTAGTCCATTGTGTTATTATGGGTAAGGTCCCATAACACTATCTATCTATCTATCTATCTATCTATCTATCTATCTTAGACTCTCCATTATCTATCTATCTATCTATCTATCTATCTATCTATCTATCTATCTAGGCCTTGTGCCACATCCGATCCCCCGTGGGTGGATTGATAAATACCATCTATCTATCTATCTATCTATCTATCTATCTATCTATCTATCTATCTTAGACTCTCCATTATCTATCTATCTATCTATCTATCTATCTATCTATCTATCTATCTATCTTAGATTCTCCATTATCTATCTATCTATCTATCTATCTATCTATCTATCTATCTATCTATCTATTGTGGCTAGAATAGTGCTACAAAACACACATTTGAAAATAAAATTCAAACTATTCCCTGAATCTCCTTTTATTTTTAGCGCCAGCCTCCTTCTTTCTATTGTGATTCATTTGTATAATAAATCTTTTGAAAAGTAAATATTGACGCGCTGAGCTGGTTTCGTCCATCGGGAGATTGTGAAAGTATGTATATAACATTTTTTTTTTTCGTGTTAGCAATCATTTCGTTTCTGCGTTTCATGAAAGGGACGAGTTAAGAATAGGATAATGAATGTAAGAGTAAACTCTTCCTCAGATCCCTGGGTGCGTCATATTTTAGATAGGACCCACCAAGGCACGTATAATTGTTCTGCTCTTTCTCATTTCCTTCATATTCCATTGATGAGCGCGGAGTACCCCCCCCATGCGACAGCTCTTTCTCGAGAACTTGCAATATGGAACAGACTCACGAGGGTATGTTACCCTGATCACTACAGTTTTAATTTCTCCATTATCTATCCTTCATACTCTCATAATATCCTCTACTTGTTCCTTCTCTCCCTCTACGCCATTATAACAACCTCATTTCGTAACATTCTAACTTGATTGGCTCTTGGGCCTTGTATTGGTTGAATAATAGTAACAAAAAATAGAGTAAATGATAGTTAATTAGCGCTTTATTTTTGGGCAAATGAAGATTGATTGGAAATTTGTGATTACAACAAGAAATATGGATAGAATGGTGGGGAACCGCTCGTATGCCTGCCTACTAGGCTGACTAGCCAATCCCTGTGGCAGACGCCTGCTCAGACACATTTGTGTTTGTTCAGCACCCCCAGATCCCACCTGTAGTTTGTACTGCAACTATACTGAGCGGAGTTTAGTTACAGTTCTGGGAGAGGAGGGGGAGAGACAGACAGAAAGACATAGAGAGACAGAGAGAGAAACAGAGACAGAGAGAGATAGAGAGATAGACAGAGACATAGAGAGAGTGAGAGAGAGAGAGAGACAGAGAGAGCATTATTTGGCGTGATCAATACTCTGAACGAAGCGAGTACTCGTAAACCCTCGGTCAAGATGACTTGTGATTTCGTGCTGGCACAACCATAAGCGGCTCTCACATAGTTTCATTTACCCAATTTCATCTACAAGACAAACCCGTGGTATGGTTTTCAGACACTTAACGCAAAATGTGCGACGAGGTTGAATGTTTATTCCGGCAATCTCATAATACGACAAAGAAACAACAGTCTGGCAGTAAAGTGTTACTTGTAGGGCGCTCTAGGTTAGTGACAATTATTCTCCGGATCCCAAACGACGTAAGACGCAAAGGCATCATTTGATCATGGCCTGTTTTAATTTTATTTTTAATTTTGGGAGCGCTGTTACTTATTAAAATCATTGCATATAGTAAAACGTACTTACCTTAAAGCACGTGACAGTGAAGTGAAAAAAGCGGAAGATACTTACCTGAAAAAGAAAAGAACAGAAAGAAAACACATGAAACATTATTAACAAAGAGGATCCTGTGTACATGTAGATTCAGCTAAATGAATTCATTTGACTGGCCAAAAAGTTTCGTTCGATAAGTGAGTAGAAAAAAAATGACTTAAAAAACCGAACGAAATTTTTGGCCAACCCAGTATATATGAAATTGTTGGAAAGTTCTCAATCAGCTTTTCAAAGCCCTCAACTATTTGATTCAATTTGGAGGAGATTTCAGTTCATATTAAAGATCTAACATTACAATCTTGCTAAATTATTAAATCCATAACTTTAAGCGTTTAAAATTATAACCCACCTCCTTTGATAAACTTTCTAGCCACTTATATACCACTAATTTATCCTAGATTTTGATTCTTAAATTTTTTTACGCATATATAATACTAATAATACTTTCAGATAAATTGTTTTACACATATACTTATTCTACACGTTATACTGTCCAACAATAGATCAAAATTAGATGATAAAAATTATATTAATATCCAATACTTTTGATATACTCTTCTACTTATATTTTAATTTCTAAATCTAAAAACTGATTTAAATTTTTTTTTAAAATCCGGATAACTTATTTATTCAACATACCAAGAAAAAATCACCATCTCTAAATTTCTTAATTTACAAAACACTTTCATTGATTTAGCTTGGTTTTTTATAATAACCAAAAACTATATTCCCAATTATTGCCATAAATATCGTTTGAATTTATCCCTCCTACCCCTTTCATCATATTACTATCTCCTATTCCCATCTTTCCTCCTCCAGCCCCTAACTCTTAGAAGGCTTGGAAATGCTGTACCTAAACTTTTGACCGCTGTTATCAACAAGGAATTTCTTCAATGTAACCACCATTTTAACATGTCATTCATCCTTCACCAAAACTTCTATCAACAAGCACTTTTGTTTCACTCCGTCAACTTTTTTTGCTTTATGTATATTTTTTATCAAACAAATGGAAAAAAAAAAAAGTGACGTTTCACATACGGCTTGCTTACAAGCAATTGTTCATAACCATTTTGTTTCTCACCAGTCGAGGTGCAATTGAAATGCACCGAAACGAAGTTACATTTTGTAGTGAGTTAACTGTTTTTGTCTATATGAAAAAATTATAATATATACACACACAGACACACACACACACACACACACACACACACACACACACACACACACACACATATATATATATATATGTGTGTGTGTGTGTGTGTATATATATATATATATAAATATATATATATATATATATGTATGAAAAGTATATATATATATATATATATATATATATATATATATATATATCAGGTCATCCCATAAGTTCTGTCGAATTTTAACTTTTTGTTAAAATGAACGAAATTTAAAAGTATTTTATAATGTCTAATGGAGCTGAACATTATGTTTTATGTTAAAGATGCATTTAATTTCAGAGAACAATAAAATTAATTTTTGTTTGATTAAAACCCTGCTAGCATGGAAGTACCCAAGAATCATTTGAGGCACATAATGTTTTATGAGTTCAAGAAAGGAAACTCAGCAGCCGAAGCGGCTAGAAACATTCACTCAGTTTATGGAGAGGAATGTGTGAATGAAAGAACTTGCAGAAGATAGTTTGCAAAATTCAGAGGTGGAGATTTCACCCTTGAAGATGAAGATCGAACCGGACGTCCAGTTGTGTTTGATGAAAAGCTTCTTGAAGCAGCCCTTGAAGAAAACCCTGCTTTATCAGTTGAGGAATTGGCAGTGGTTCTCAGTTCAAACCATACAACTGTTCATCGTTATCTTCAACAACTTGAAAACAACCTCAAATCCTGAGTTGACATCTGCTCTTCTCTCCATTCTCGCCAATTTGTTTCACCTTTTTTGGACAGACTTGTGACTGGCGACGAAAAATGGATCTTTTATCGAAAAGTTAAGCGTCGTAGACAAAGGTTTGCTAAAGGGGAAGGACCCCAGCCACAGCCGAGAAGGGAACTACATGGGCAAAAGGTTCTTCTTTCAATCTGGTAGGATCACCAAGGATTAATCCACTTCTTACCACCTAATGCAACAATTAATGCTCAAATATACTGTCAGCAATTAGAGCGTTTGAACCAAGCTTTGAGGAGAAAAAAAATCTGCTCTAGTGAATCGAAAAGAGGTGATGATTCATCAGGAAAATGCGCGACCCCACACAGCAAGAATCACGTCACAAAAGATGGAAGAACTTGATTGGGAGAAAATTCCTCATTCACCTTATTCTCCAGACTACCATTTGTTTCGTAGCTTACAGAATCATTTGGAAGAAACAGCTTTTGTAACACAGGAAGAGGTTAAAACTGACATTTGTGAGTTCTTCGAAACAAAGCCAAAAGAATTTTACAGTAATGGAATTAGTAAGCTTGTTAATAGATGGAAGGAAGTCATAGATAATCAGGGAAAATACATTGTTGATTGAATCTGTAATTAAATGTAACATTTAGTCACTTGTTTTCTTTATTCAAAATTCGGACAGAACTTATGGGATGACCTGATATAATTATTTATATATTATATGCGCGGTACTTATTAGAAAGCTCTCAATATCAGAGATAGAGCAAAATATGTAAATAAATATATGAAATAAAATAAAATAAAACACCAACAATCACTTTTTGGTTCAAGCTACCAGCACAATAATCACATTTATTGTTTTTATCATTCTCCCACCACCATTACTAATCACTTCTACCAGTTTACAATAACTATTAGCTACTTATATTATCATTGCCACCAATCACCTTACAACATTACTATCACCTCACATCTACAATTATCATATAAACCCGCTAGAATTATTAACGTAAACTACCCCCTCCCCCAGCATATTAAATACCACCATAAGGATTACAAACTGAAATTTCTACCAATTACATATACAGTCATCAAAAACAAGCAAATAACCAGCTTTAAAATAATAACAAATGAACTTTTAAAAAATTAAAAATAAAAATAATAGCAATTTTTACCTATCATAATTTTACACAATTTTATTTATATACGTGCATGCGATATATATATATATATATATATATATATATATATATATATATATATAATATGATAATGATATATATTTTGATATAACAGGAAAAATATTGATGAAATATGTATGACAAAATGGAAAAAAGTTTTTTTTTGTGACGCGTTTCGTCCTTTAGTCAGATGAAGTTCAAAATGACGAACCACGTCACAAGAAAACTTTTATAATTAGTCATAGTTTTCCTCACTACATACATATATATATATATATATATATATATATATATATATATATATGTGTGTGTGTGTGTGTGTGTGTGTGTGTGTGTGTGTGTGTGTGCAGGGCACTCAAGATTTCTTTTAAATATAATTTACTTGGAGAGTTAAATTTCTTCAGTGTAATTTACTCGGTTTTTTTCTAACAGTTGCTGAAAGGAAAAATAAAATTCTTTTAAAAAAAGGTTCACACTGGAAAATGATATTGAAGTTCACATTTTTTAAAATCTTCAAAAGACTTTATTTAGTAAAATAAGCTCTTTTGACAGACAGCAACGGGATTAATTTGTTTTGAAAAATGACAAGTCATTTTTTTTTTTAGTAAATATTCAGTTTAAATTTGTTTGCTGTCGAATCTGAAAGAAAATAACCTCCTTTATCGAATTATGCAAGTACGAATTTAAAAAAAAATCTCTTTCAATTTTATAGAATTATTTTTGTTTAGGTCAGGTCGAATTTTCTTGTATATTCCCATTCGATATTGCTGAAACGTTTTACTGAAATAATATCGTCAGCGATTAATTTTTATTTAACTGTAAGAAATTGAGTGACTCATACCAACCCCAAATATTTCCCATAGGTTTTTATTTTTAACAGAAAAATCTAGTCATTAAAATATTCCCTCATCAATGAATAATTCCCGAAAATTTCGTTTGAATAGAATAATTCGCTGATTTTTGGCAAATATTTTAATGCAGTGGATGTCGATTTTTTGGCGGAAATTTAATATCCATTTTCGTGGTAACTAATAAAATGTTTAATATTTTTTAAATGTACAAAGAACTATGAAATTGTATAAAACCACCTTACATAAGTTGACTGGAGATATTTGTGCGAGTGTTGTATCAAAAATTTAGAAATCAGTCGTATTGACCGGCTAAGAGACGAAAGACAACAGCAAAAAGTAAAAAGTCAGTATTCCAGTTGCTTTGATATTCGCTGTTGCTCAATATGTGGGATTTTTATGCAGGTCACTGGCGGGACTGAAGTATCATGTGCAACAGAAACATAAAAAGAGTGAATGAGGTTGTCGGATCCGCTTAAGTTGAAATCGACGGGAAATTCCATCATATATATATATATATATATATAAAATAAATAATTATAATATATATATATATATATATATATATATATAATAAAATGGAATTTGTAGGTCTAATGAATTGGATTGTAATTAGGATTCCAATGTAATAAATTATAACCATGGAATATTAGTGTTTAAGCCTTTTTATTATATTCTTACTCTGTTTTGGCCATTG